ATGTGGCTGGAGTAGAGGCTGTGTGGAAGGTGAAAAGAGATGTGGCTAGAAAAGTAGGTAAGGGCCAGACTAGTCTGGAATGCCCTGCTGAGGAGCTGACCTCTAATTGGTCAGCAACTATAGGAGGGTTTCAAAGGGAAGTAGCAGATCAGGGCTTTTCTAAGATAATCTCTAAGCTGTGTATGGGCGGGGTGGGGCTTTACTATATAGTCCAGGCCAGAGGTGACATGGTCTAAACCAGATTTGTTACTCCTTATATGCAATCCTACCACTCCTTGCCCTGGGATTCAGAGCCTAGAGCAGGAGGTGGCTCAGGAAGAAGGAGCAAGCCAGGCCATGAAAGAGGAGGCCCAGCGGAGGGAGACAGCCCTGCAGCAGCTTCGCACAGCCGTGAAAGAGGTGAGCAGCAGCATCTGGGCCTCGTGGCACTGCCTCCACAAGCCTGATTTCTCAGTGTACCTTCCCCATCCCTACTCCCACAAGAGCCCTCATGTTTGAGAGGTCCCTGCTGAACAACTTTTTGACAGAAGAATGGAAAGGGACGCCGCATCATCCTTTCTGTTAAAGGTCGTAATCCCATCTTAGGCCATATTTACCCAGGAATGTGTTTTGGATGCAAGAAGTCAGTCTCTCTCCCTTTGTTTTCCTTTAGCCACAGGTTTGTGGGGTTGGGGGGAAGGGTTCAAGAAGACTGAGAGCTTGGTGGTCCTCATGGAGTATACAGAGCTGTCAGCAAGGGGTGACCAAGTTCACTGACCTAGGAAGGAGTCTCTCAGAGCTGGGATTGTCACATGGCCCAGTGTACGTGAAAGGCTGGGACTGGAGGAAGAACTCTATTCAGAATAGAGGGAGGGAGGGGAAAATGGGTTAAGCTGTTCAGGGAGAGAGAGAGAAGGAGACACAGACATACATGAATAGCTGATCTTTGTAGAAAAGCCTGATTCTACTGAGGTGAAGGTGTAAAAATGCAAGCAGGGCACATTCCAGTGCTGTGTCCTCCAGGTTCCTAGCTCCCTCAGGCCCCCACCCAGTGGCCACTAGCTGTATTGTTGTCTTTCTTGCCCCCTTTATTCCTCTGACACACTCTGATCAGGCTGGCTGGTGGCCACTTTTGTCAGGGTGGCAGGGAGAGATTGAAACCAGTGTCTCCTCAGATTTCACAGTTCACGTTAAGCCTCCTCTAATAGCCTGGTTAACAGAGTTGGCTGAGGGACTGCCTTCAGATAGAGTTCCGAGGGGCGGGAGTATCTTCTCTGGTTCCTGAACAGAAACCTGGAGGCTGATGACTCAGAGTCTGCTGGGGAAGACTCCAGTACTGGAACCCTATGGGCCTGACCTACCTGCAGGAGAACTTAGGCCCAGTTTTGGGAATAGGGGGAGTGCTAAGCCTGTTGGTAGTGGTGGGGAGGGGGCGATATCCCCTGTGACTCGTGTATTCACGTACATGTATAAATAGTCTGCCCTTCCCTGGGCTTGGGTTAATGTGTTTGCCCATCTGTCGGCTCAGCTTTCAGTACAGAACCAGGACCTGATCGAGAAGAATCTGACACTCCAGGAACACCTGCGTCAAGCCCAACCAGGGTCTCCATCTTCACCAGATACAGCCCAGCTGGCATTTGAACTGCACCAGGAGTTGGCCAGTTGCCTTCAAGATCTGCAGGCTGTCTGTAGCATTGTGACCCAGAGGGCCCAGGGCCATGACCCCAATCTCTCCCTGCTCCTGGGCATTCACTGTGAGTCCTCAGGCCAGTCTGGGACACAGGAGAGAGTGGCTTTCATTCTTCTGTCACCCCTATCCAATTTTCCCATCCTTTGTGTGATCAAGGCTCTGTAGACCTGGTCACTGCCCCTGGGAGTTTATGTGTTTTGCAAAGTAGATACTCAGTAAATCTGTTTTGGAAGCAGTCATCCTTATGGGTACTTGAATGCGGGACAAACAGAAAATGGCCCTTAGCAAGTTTTCAGCCCACTATCCCCATCTGCTTTTTTAAAAACATGTGTTTTAAGACCATGGGTCTCAAAGTACTGCGTATCCATACCACCCCCTCCATTGAAAGCATCTCCTAACTGACTAACATTCTCTTGAAATGCTCTTCTCCCCAGCTGCACAGCACCCAGGGATTCAACTAGATTTGCAGAAGCCAGATGTGATCAGGAGGAAACTAGAAGAGGTTCAACAGCTGCGCCGTGACATCGAGGACTTAAGGACCACCATGTCAGACAGATATGCCCAGGATATGGGAGAAAACTGTGTCACTCAGTGAGGAATGCTGGGGGTGGCATAGACTCCGTTCCCCCAGGGAAGATCTGGTCTGCTGAGAGCCCAGTCTTGCAGGTCCTGCCCTGACAATCTCTTGCCTCCTATTTGCTGCTATTCCCAGAGAGAAGGGATGGAGGGGGGTAAGAACCTGCATCTGGGGCCAAGGGCTGATTAAGGAACTGTGCCTGCCCTGCCCCACACTGGCTTTGCCTTGTTGGATTGCATTTGTCCTGTCATACTGATTTACCCTTTGAGGGTGAGTTACTAATTAACTTTTGCAGGTTAACTGATAAGTCCTCACAGACTGTTCCCAGCCCCAGGCTGACGTCAAAGGTAAACAGGCTGCTCACTTCCCTTTTCCGTCCTCTGGATGGATCCACGTTCATTCCCACTCCATACTTTGGTCCTGCTGATGTCCACTGGAAAGGCTGAGTACCAGTCACAGTGGCCATGTGAGAATTCTCAGACCAGTCAGCTAGCCTGCCTGGGATCTAAGTTGGCTTTCGGGGTATTCTTTGGCCTGGTCCCACTGCTGCTTCCTCAGGACTCTTGTTCTCACAGATGCCTCAGGGTGATCTGTTTATTAGCAAAGCACCCACTAGAATTGGCCTAGGGATTGTATCCAGGTCTCCTTAATCTGAGCTGTCATGCCATTTTACAGGATACCCCATTCTCCAGCTGCTCTGTCCCATGGGGCCCTGGCCATGTGGTTAGCACAGCTCCCTTCTCCTTTGTTCTCAGGCCATCCAGGTAGCCCCCTTGTAAACTCTTCTCTATGGTTCTGGGTTTGGGCAGGATTTTCCCTCATATTGCCACAGGGCAACTGTCAAGTTACTCACCTCCTCCTCCTGGGGCTGAGGCCAGAGCCCAGTCCTGATTTGTGCCTCTCTTTTGTTTAGGGGCAGGGTCCTTTCCCTTTATTGCTCTGGGGCCCCTTTGAAAGTTCAGAGTACCCGGTATAGCTTGGCTCTAAGTTCTAGCTTTCCGTATTTGCTGGGTTTTGTTTCTCTAGGGCCTTTGGGGACCCTGTGCTTTTTATTTTCTCTTGCCTTCTCATGTATGGAGCATCTCAGAACACAATTGTTTGTATCCGGTTGTTGGGCTGGCCCCAGGCCTCCTCTAGATCTGGAGCCAGGCCAAGCCAAGGCTTTGTAAGGGTATGGAGGAGCACTGAGCAGTTCAGAAGCCAGCCACTGAGTTTGTTGCTAAGCTTTGAGCTGTCAGAGAAGCATCCTGGACCTCATTCTTGGGTCTGAATGAGACTCGTTAAGTGTTTTTACAATTTTGTGTCTTATTTATGGAGTGATGTATCCCTTCCATTCAGAGCAGCCCCACCCAGCCACCCCCTCAGCCTCTGGGCTCGTTCCTGCCTCCTAAAAGCAGAGCTGCCTGGTTGGTCTCCACCCTGTGTTGGGAGCCCAGCCACCATGCTCACGGGTATTTTTCCTCAAAGTTTATAAGCAGTTATTTATATGAATCCTTGTTATGTCAACTGGTTTGTATTGCCTATTTTGATTACAAAATAAAATATTTAACAAACTCCTCAGTTTTCTATCACCATTATCACCATCCCTTACTCCACCCCTCATTTTGCCTTATTGGAACCAAGGCCCGGGTGTTTAGCCAAGTTCCTCAGACAGCAGCAAGGAGGGACCTTTGGCAGGTCCAGCCTCTCATCTGTGTTTCTACCACTTCGGCTCCTCTGGTGTTCTCTATGGGGACAAATAAGATCTCTTCTGACACTACTTTCTATTGGGTGAAGCTGCCCTGAGTCATTGAGCAAGTCTGTCGTTGGAAAGAGTTTCAGTAAGTCTCTGAGAGGAAGTCTACTTCTAGGTTGCTGTGAGGAAGTGGCTTCCCTGGAGCCAGGCAGGGCCCTGTTTGCCTCACGGAGCTAAGGTGGTCTTTCTGGGCTGCTATTTGAGCCCTGGGGTGGGGTGGGGGGCCTGTGAGGGCAGTCCTGGCCAACCCCAGACAGACAGCTGAGCCCAATTTGGGCTGATGAGTCTCTCAACCCCCTGGATTTTTTCTGGGAGCAGGAGCAGCTTTAGAATGACATCTGGGGTTGGAGTTGAGCTAGGGCCACCCTGAGACCAGCTGTGGATCTTGAACAAGGGCGGGCCGGGCTCCCCGGAGTCCCGACCAACTGCTGCCTCCACCCGTTCTAGAGCTAGCAAACTCTTACCTTGGCCTCCATCTGGTGCCTTGAGGGTGTGGCCCTGTCTCCGGCCACCACCCTTCCTTGTCTAGACTTGCCTGAGTAGAGAGGAACTTGTGGGGAAATCTCCCAGCAGGGGCTGTCCCTGCTTTGGTGTGCCATGGGGTTAGCCATGTATGAGTGTCACCCGGGGACTGTGGGAAGGGGTCCCTTGGAGCAAGATTCCCTAGCCAAGGAACTGTAGGTTTCAAAACAGCCCAAGCCTTCAAAGCTCCAGCTGCGCCGTGCTATCGTGGCACTGAGGGTGGGTAGCTGGGTGCAGCAAACCCGGGCGACGCTGAAAAGGCCTTTGCCAAGCCGTCACCCAGGCCCTCCCTGGCCTTTCCGGCCACCAGCCCCCTCCCCCCACCTCACGCTGAACCCCAGATCAGGGAAGGCGCGGGAGGGGACGGCCTCGCGCAGCACTGGGGTCCTCTGCGCGCCCCGTCACTGAGGGGGAGGGGAGGGGGCAGCGGCGCGCGGGGCGGGGTCGCGCAGGCTCCGCCCCGGCCGCACGCCTGCCCGCGCCGCCCATTGGTCCTGAGAGCGGTGACTCGCGGGCAGAGCAGGAAGGAAACCGCTCCCGAGCGCGGCGGCGTCGTCTCCAGGCCGTGCGGCTGCCGCTACAGCCAGCCATCCGTCCGCTTGTCGGCTTGCCAGTCCACCCGCAGCATGAGCGGCCTGCGCGTCTACAGCACGTCGGTCACCGGCTCCCGCGAAGTGAGTGCACGCCCCGGGTGAAAGCTTGGGCGGCGGAGTCCGGGCGCTACGGCCCGGCGCCGGAGACCCGCCCCCAGGGCGGAGCGGGGGGCGAGAAGGTGCGGGGCTCGGCCTCCTGGGTCGAGTCCCAACGCGGGCCCCGAGTCTGTGCCTTGAACTCCTCCGTTGGGCATCCTGTATCCTTAGCAGCCCCAGGACGAGCTGCCCGCGCCCATCCCATCTCTCAGACACGCACTCTCTGCAACCCCCCTGCGACCCCGATCACGTCCTGATCGTGCTCTTCCTCTCCCCCACTTTGTGTGTACCTAGGCAGGGGTGGCCCCTTAACCTGCCTCCACCAAGGCCTGCCCTGCCTTCCCCTCGCTGAGTTCCTGGTTCTCTCCACTCTGAACTTTATCCCACTTCCCTTCGTTCTGACTCCCCTCCTCATGGTGGTCCCTCTTCTCATCCTGCCCCGCTGCAAACCTGACTCATCCTCCTAACTCCCTAGTGGCCAGAACCCTCGCCCAGGGTGTGGAGGGACACAAAAACTACTGGCCACAGTCCCTGTCTTTCTGCCCAGGTTTCCCCCGTAAATCCTCCAGCCTGCTCACTAACCCCTGCCCGCCCTCTACCCCCAGATCAAGTCCCAGCAGAGCGAGGTGACCCGCATCCTGGATGGGAAGCGCATCCAGTACCAGCTAGTGGACATCTCCCAGGACAACGCCCTGCGGGATGAGATGCGAGCCTTGGCGGGCAACCCCAAGGCCACCCCACCCCAGATTGTCAACGGGGACCAGTACTGTGGGGTATGAACCCCGGGGGTTGGGAGTGGGGAAGTGTAGGACTTCTGCTGACTCAGAAGTCAGTCAGACCTGGGACAAAACACCAGCACTCAGGCTGACCATCTCTCCCCTCCCCTCGCCTAGGACTATGAGCTTTTCGTGGAGGCTGTGGAACAAAACACACTGCAGGAGTTCCTGAAACTGGCCTGAGCCCACTGGACTCCATCACCACGTCCCCCCGCAGTCACCGCCGGCCATGAAGGACCTTGTGACCAACTCCCTGTCATTCCTAGCCTTCCGACCTTAGAATCTCTCCCCGCAACCCAAGCCCCCCTCCTCCCCCTCTCTAATTTAGCCCCCTCTTCTCCATTCAAAGGCAACATTCCTTACCCACTAGTCTCAGAAATTGTCTTAAGCAACAGCCCAAGTGCTGGCTGTTGTCAGCCAGGCCCTGAGGCTGCCACCCTGCCTGGCACTGGCTGATGGGCACCTTTGTGGGTTCCATTAGCCAGGGCTCTGCCAAAGGCCCCGCATTCCTTGTCCCCTAGAGACAATTAAATGTCCCATTCCACTGACACCGTGTCTGTTTGATATGGCCTGAGTCCTTGGTCTGAGCAAGGCTGGTAGATGGGATTGTCTGAGGCCGTGGTCCCACGGGCAGGTCGGTCGGGCCGTCTCCTGTGTGGCACCTCTGTGTATGATTGCGCACGTATGTGGGTGTATGTCTGGCATATGCATAACTGTGTGGACCAGCGTTTCTCCAAACGGTGTGGGTGGGTCACTTCCTGATTCACATGCATGTGATAGTGTCCTGACACGCCCGGCTTGGTGAGTGTAGCACATCTGTATGCCTGTCGGTAATGTAACCGCACCATGTGGCTGCCTGCCTGGGTTCCAGCATCCTGGCTAAGTATGGGCGTGTCATGGAAGTGGGTTCATGGCCGCAGTTCTGCCAGTTTGGGCACAGTGGCTTTGTGCAGAATGTTGGGGAAGTGGCCACATGTGCGTGTGGTTCTCTGTGTCTGTGCACAGGGACCTGCTCGCGGCACGCTTGCACATGAGGCCCTTCTGCACCAGCTGAGGCTGAGCTGGAGCCTGCCTTCCCTCCACTGGATCTGCTTAGCCCTTCTGGGGAGAAAGGAACCTAGAGGACAAAGACCCAGCAGCTAGGCCCGCCAGCTGGAGCTCGAGTTACCGAGGGGCGGGTCTGCACCGCCCCTTCCCCCCAGCCTTCTCTGGCGCCCAGCTGGGCTGCCCCGCCAAGAGAGCCTTGTGTGCGCGGAGCAGCCAGTGTGGGAGCGGGCGCTTTATTTGGATCAGGGGCCAGGGCCTGGGGCAGGCGGTGGGGCCCGGCTAGCCCGAAGCAGCAGCGCTGCGTTGGGCACCAAGCCTGCGGCCTGCAGCGTGACCGTGTCGTCGTGGTAGACCGTGGGTGGGAATGTACTGATGATCTCGAAGGTCGTGGCGTCCACGGCTCTGGGGACCGGGCAGAACTGATCAGGCCATGGCCTGGGACCAGAGACCCCCCTCCCCGTAGCTGCCGGCCCCACACCATGCCCACCTGGCCTGTGCAAGCAGGGTGCGCACATCGCCAACAGTGTCCTCGGGCCGCATCATCAGCAAGAAGGCCTGCTCGCCATTCTCAGACTTGATGCGCAGCATGGAGAGCAGGGGCGCCTGTGACTCGGGGGACTCCTGGCTCCTGTGGACCTAGAGGCCATCAGTGCCCCCTGGTGGCCCAACCCCAAGGTCCTCACCTCTTCACCATGCCCTCACCTCTCACGCTCAGCAGCCAAGGCTGGTGTCTCCACCACAATCTCCTGGATCCTGGCAGGCAATGGGCAGCAGTTCTGGAAGGCATCGATGAAAGAGGACAGAGCCCTGGGCTCTGCTAGAGTCACACCCTTCCCCCCAATCCTTAGAGGGGACTTATTCCTTACCGGGGATGGATGAGACCAGTGAGCCAAAAGGGGAGGGGTGTTCTGTGTAAACTGGGGCCCAAGCAGAAGAAATGGAAGGGAAGCTTTGGAAGGCAACCCCATCATTCCCCTAAGAAGCCTTGAAGTCCCTCAGCGTAGTGGGGGAGACAGAACCCCACACAATGACCAGCTTCCCAGGGGAAGCTTCCCAGGGGAAACCACCCCTGAGCAGTGACTAAGGATGAGGAGTCCATAGAAATGGAATGGGCACAGGGATGTTCCAGACAACATGGGCAGAGATCCCCTGGTCAGGGAAGGCTTCTCTGGAGGTGACATATTTGGGAAAGTGTCAGCAGTTCATGTGGCTAAAGCTGAGAATCAGGTTGGACTGGAAAAAAGAAAAGGTTAGAGGTGGGAAGAGGACCGACAAGGAGTGGTGGGCCTTGAGTGCCAGATAAGAGCTTGGCCTTACCTGAGAACCACTGAAGGGTTTCAACAGGGAAGGCCCAGATCCAACTTATGTTTTTACAGAAGCACAAGGACTGCTGGGGGAGGACAGTTGACAAGGCAGGAGGGGAGGTGGCAGGCCAGTGAGAGGCCACTGCAGGTATCTGAGAGGGCTACTCTGGAGCCTCGACTAGCATGGCGGGCAGAGGGAACAGAGAGAAGACGTGGATTCTGGCAATGTGCGGTGAAGGAGGCAGTGTGGTGGGAAACTGAGGTTTGTTACTTTCACGGGTGGAGACAGGGGAGGAGCCGCGGGATGGGGAGTGAGGGAGGAGGATGTTTCTGAGGGCCAGGAAGGGGTATCCAGGACTGAACTGGATAGTCTGGTCTGGACCTCGAGGGGGTGGCGTGGGCCCTGGGCTCACCCCTGGCCTAGACTCTGGCTCTCCCCTTCTTACAGCCATACTGCCACGGAGACAGCCCATCTCTGGATGCAGCCCTCCCCAGACTGTTTTCAGGAGACAGTGGAACTGCCTTGAGAGCCTCATTTCTCCCTCCAGGCCCCCTTCAGCAGCCCTCGAGCCTGAGTCTCCAGACAAGCCACTGCTCTGGTAGGTTGGGCCAGGGAGCCCAAGATGGCTTGGGGGAGCTAGGGCTGGCCTCACCTGCAGGGTGTCCCGGATGGGGCCCCGGATGTCAATCACCTCGCCTCGCCGGATCACAAACTTGGGGAGCCTGTTCAGAAACTTCTCAGCAGTCATCCTGGAGCCTGCAGGGAGTGCATTGGGAGCCTTGGCCTGGGGAGGGACTGGGAGTGACGGGTGATGGTGGAGGAGGCCACCTGGAGCCTGTCCCACACAGTGGCCCTGCCGCCTGGCTCGGCCTCAGGGCCAAGCTCACCTGGGGGCTCCATCCTGTCCACGGGCTTGCGAATCCTCTGCCAGCCCACCACGCGGCCCTCACCTGGGAACAGTTCCAGCCTATTCTCCGGGTAGACCTGATTGCGCAGATCACTGACCTGGCAAGAAGGAAGGGTGAAAGTGGTGGGCCTCGACCTTCAGCCCTGGGCTCCACCCCCACCCTTGCTCGCCCAGAGCACGCCCTCCCACCCCCCCACCCCCCCACCCCCAGGAACAGGCTCGAGGGACGGTCTGGTGCAATCCCCATTTTACGGATGAAGAAACTGAGGCCCCAAGAGAGCTGCAGTTCATGCTGCTCTCACCTACCTGGGCTCAGCTCCTCCTGCAATCACCCCTCGCCATGCCGGCTAGAGCCACTGTACTGCCATCCTCCCCAGACAGCCCCTCTCAGGAGCCAGCCAGGAAGCAAGGGACCAGGGTGTTAGCAGAGGGCAGAGCCCGCCTTGGCAGGCACTACCTCCAACACCTCCAGTCGTGACTCACACGGTTTTCCAAGCCCGGGGGGTGGTGGTGGCACACACGCCCTCGTGCACCCTTGCTGTGGCATGACGCACCGCCTTCCGGCTGCGGCTCAGGAGATCCCCCCACTGCACCCCTCATCTCACCCCCGCCGGCAGGGGGATGGCTCATGCCGTGTCCTTCAGGCCCACATTTGTCCCCACGGCACTGCCTTCCGTACCCATCAGATGGCTTCAGGAACCCCTGGGGCAAGTCAGGCCACTTTTGCATGGAGTCTCAGGGACCCCAGGCTGTCAGGGTGTCCTGGGCGCTGGGGAGGGGCACTGGGCCTACAAGGCCGAAGGCTGTGCCTCCAGGGTGCCAGCAGGGGGCACTGCCTGCCGCTTAGCCACAGGCCGGTGCCCTTGCTAACCGGGCAACTGCAGCCCCTGCAGCCTCCCTGCCCTTCTTGGCTGGGCTTCAGGCTCACCCTCCTCCCCAGAGGTCATCAGAGACTGGGGTCCCCTTAGGTGGGGTAGTGGCTTCCCACCTCAGACCGGGTGATGCCTGAGGAAGCTGTTTGTCCCCACCCCCCCCCAAATCCCCACACAGGGTGGTTTGAGGAGCAGCCCATCACCTTAAAGGGGACCCCGTCAGGGTACAGTCGCTGGAGCTCTGAGGGGAAGAAGCCGTCCAGAATGTCTCGGAGGCAGCGCTGCGGCAGGGATCAGAAGAGTGAGGCCCGACTGGACCCGTGCGGCACCTACCGCTCTGCTTCCTGTCCAGACGGTGGGCCCCGGGCCCCGGGCTTACCCAGTGGGTCACACTCTGCACATATTCAGGGCCCCAGGACTTGGTGGGGGGGAGGGGTTGTTTCTGCAAGTTGCACGTGGGCTTGGGTACCTGTGGGGGGTGGGCTGGGCCCCCCACCACCAACTAATGGTGAGCAAGGGGAGGGGGCAAGGGCACCAGAGTGGCCTGTCTCCCCTCCCCACCCCTCCTACCTGTGTGGAGGGGTCATGGAAGGGCCGGAAGGGCCCATCGAACATCATGAGGCCATTCCGATAGAGCTTCAGTGGGATGGGCTCAAGGACATGGAGCCGTGCTCCCCCAGGCATTGGTGTCACCTGGGTGTCACCCTCTACCACCAGCTCACTGAGATCCTTCAGGCTGGCCAGGAGCCTGTCAAAGTCCACCTCGGGGGGCGCCAATGAGTCCCCTGGTAAAGAGGATAAACACCCATGAGCCTCTCTTCATGGCAGCTGTGTGCCCCAGCAGCCCTGGTTTCCATGGCCCCTTGCATGCTAAGCAGTGGCCTTCGCACCTCCTTAGGTGGCCACCTGGGGAGGAAGAAGGACAACTACCACTAGATAATAGCTGTCTTGTATTGAACACCGCCGTATGCTAGAGGCTTAATGCCTATAATGCCACTGTCTCTTCATACCAACCCTATGCTGTAGGGGCTACAATCACCCCCATTCTTCAGATGAGGAAACCTCAGGTCAGGGGTTAATGGCTGCCTAGGGATGCACGGAGTAAGTGGCAGGAGCAGGATCTGATCCCAGCTCTGCCCGTGTCAGGCACGGGGTCAGCCACTGAAAAGCGCAATGCAGAGCTCCCAGCTCTGGATGAAGTCTGTCTGGGTTCAAATCCCAGCTCTGCGGCTTCCACCTGTGTGACCTTGGTCAAGTCATTCAATGCTCTGCACGACAGCATTCTCTCCTAGAAGGCTATGATAGTGTCTGCCTCCCAGGATGGCTACCGAGGTCCAGGAAGATGGCCAAGTGAGGGCCAGCTCGGAGCAAGCACTCTGTCCAGCTGGTTACTGTTACCAATCCCACCTTGCACAAACG